TCTAAAAAGTATTAAAAACATCTTAGCAACTGCATAGCGACATTCTAAATAGTATCAAAAGACCTTAGCGACCACATAGTGACATTCTAAAAAGTATTAAAAACACCTTAGCAACTGCATAGCCACATTCGAAAAAGTATCAAAACACTTTAGCAACTGCATAGCGACATTCTAAAAAGTATCAAAACACCTTAGCAACTGCATAGCGACATTCTAAATAGTATCAAAAGACCTTAGCGACCAAATAGTGACATTCTAAAAAGTATTAAAAACACCTTAGCAACTGCATAGCGACATTCTAAATAGTATCAAAAGACCTTAGCGACCACATAGTGACATTCTAGAAAGTATCAGAATACCTTAGCAACTGCATAGCGACATTCTAAATAGTATCAAAAGACCTTAGCGACCACATAGTGACATTCTAAAAAGTATTAAAAACACCTTAGCAACTGCATAGCGAAATTTTAAAAAGTATCAAAACATGTTAGCAACTGCATAGCGACATTCTAAAAAGTGTCAAAAACACGTTAGCAACCACATAACAACATTCTAAATAGTATTAAAAATACCTTAGCAACCGCATAGCGACATTCTAAATAGTATTTAAAACACCTTAGCAACTGCATAGCGACATTCTAAAAAGTTGAGAACACCTTAGCAACTGCATAGCAACATTCTAAAAGGTATTGAGAACACCTTAGCAACTGGACAGCTACTTTCTAGAATCAAGAACACATTGGCAACAGCATAGGGACAATTATTCTGAAGACTCTAGCAACTGCATAGCAACATGCTAAAAGTTAGTTTGGCTACTATAACACTATGGCAACATTTATAAAAGCTCACAGAACACCCTAGCAACATTTTTTAAAGTATCACAAACACCTTAGCAACTATTATGCAGTTTTCGTAACATGTGAGGTCTGCAGAAGAGCCTCTCTGAACACACAATACGTCCAACCTTGAGGCGGATGGGCTACAGCAGCAAAAGACCAAACCGCGTGCCACTCCTGTCAGCTAAGAACAGGAAACTGAGGCTACAATTCGCACAGGCTCACCAAAACTGGACAATAGAAGATTGGAGAAACGAGAAACTCCATTTCTGCTGCCATATTCAGATGGTCGGGTCAGAATTTAGCATCAACAACATGAAAGCATGGATCCATCCTGCCTTGTATCAACACTTCAGGCCTCCAGCAGGATAAGCGCAAATCATCTCAGACTGCTTTCTTGAACATGACAATGAGTTCACTGTACTCAAATGGCCTCCACAGTCACCAGATCTCAATCCAATAGAGTGCCTTTGGGATGTGGTGGAATGGGAGATTCGCATCATGGATGTGCAGCCGACAAATCTGCAGCAACTGCGTGATGCTATCATGTCAATATGGAGCAAAATCTCTGAGGAATATTACCAGTAACTTGTTGAATCTATGCCATGAAGGATTAAGGCAGTTCTGAAGGCAAAAGTGGGTCCAACCTGGAACAAGTAAGGTGTTCCTAATAAAGAGAGAAGTGAGTCTATTGATGAAGTACAAATACTGAAGTACTTCAGTACATTTGACAAAGAAACTTGGGGAAATATTACAAGCATATTAGAAATGAACATAAATAGTTTCCTCTCTGTATGTTTTTATTTCCAGATGTGATCTTTTGCCTAATGTATACAGGAGCAGCTCTGGTAAGAGAATGCGGAAAAAGCCGAAGTCAGACTGCAGAAAGTTACCAGTCTGAGGTAGATTTATGATCTACCTGAAGTCTTCCATTTTTTACATGCATAAATGGATATGACAGCGCGACCTAAAATAAGTCTCTAGCCGTAATTCATTTGAACTATCTTTAACACCAGAGAGCAAGCAGAGTCACTGCGGGCGTTTATGAAGCACGGCGAATAACCACATACAAAATCTAATATATGGAAGTATATATGCAAATTACAAATATGACATACAAGGATTTCACATATATACAAAAATGTCATATATGCAACGTATTTTGAATATAGAAAAATGGACGCTTACACAATATGTTACAATTTATTTAATTATAGATATATATACTATCTACTGTGCAGTATATATATATATATATATATATATATATATATATATATATATATATATATATATATATATATATATATATATATATATATATATATATAGTTGAAGTCAGAATTATTAGCCCACTTTGAATTTTTTTCTTTTTTTTTTTAAATTTCCCAAATGATGTTTAACAGAGCAAGGAAATTTTCACAGTATGTCTGATAATATTTTGTCTTCTGGAGAAAGTCTGATTTGTTTTATTTCGGCTAGAATAAAAGCAGTTTTTAATTTTTTAAACACTATTTTAGGGACAAAATTATTAGCCCCTTTAAGCTATTTTTTTCACGATAGTCTACAGAACAAACCATGGTTATACAATAACATGCCTAATTACCCTAACCTGCCTAGTTAACCTAATTAACCTAGTTAAGCCTTTAAATGTCACTTTAAGCTGTATAAAAGTGTCTTGAAAAATATCTAGAAAAATATTATTTACTGTCATCATGGCAAAGATAAAATGAATCCATTATTAGAAATGAGTCAATAAAACTATTATGTTCAGAAATGTGCTGAGAAAACACAAATTAAACACAAATTCCGTTAAACACAAATTTGGGAAAAAATAAACAAGTGGCCTAATAATTCAAGGGGGCCAATAATTCTGACTTAAACTATATATATATATATATATATATATATATATATATATATATATATATATATATATATATATATATATATTCAGGGCTCAACAATAAGGACTGCCATGTGAGATGCTCGGGACAGTGGACAGGATCATTACTGGCCCTATTGGGCCATTGCTGCCTTGTCACTAAAGTTTAATTTGCCTTCAACTATTTGTCAATTGCGTGCAAATGCAGTCTTAGAATCGAGAAACAGTTTGGGTTTTTAAGGCTTCAAATGCTTCCTTCTCTGTGATGTCGTAAGCACCACATTGCTTTTCGGTTCTCTGTGCAGTTTGTCGTCAGTTTGGCAGGTCAGTCACTTTTGTTTTGCAATAAAATACCTGTACATTTTCCATACCACTACTTTTGTTTGCATAACACTTTGAATTTTGCTCATTACACATTAATTAACATTTTTTAAATATTTGTGGCTAAGAAATGGCTATTAACTTTTTTTTTTTTTGGTGGGGCCAGTAAAAAATATTGGCAGGGCAAGTAAAAATCTGAACCACTGGTCCGATCAGGCCAGTTAAAAAATCCTTAGCGTTGAACCCTGATATATATATATATATATATATGTGTGTGTGTGTGTGTGTGTGTGTGTGTATGTATATATATATATATGTTTGTATAAATATATATACACATATATACATACATATATACATATATATATATATATATATATATATATATATATATATATATATATATATATATATATATATATATATATATATACAACAGTTCTGTCTGGTTCTCAAATCTGATTGGCTGATAGCCGTGCGATATTCTGCAATATCAGAACTCCTTCAGCCTCTTAACCCTTTGTGTGTTGCCCAAATACAACCAGCAACTACAGATCTAAAGTTTAAAAGATGTTTGCTCAACTGTTTAACTGTCAGCTTATGATTTGAATCCGGAAGAAAGTAGTTCCTCATACAAAAGGGTTTTTGAGACTCCATGTTTGATTTAAGTTTTATATACACAATTATGCCGTCAAACTGTTGTATAAACGCAATATCACACTCGTAGCAGTGCGATATGGCTGTATATCGGACTGGTGGGGGCACTAAAGCACTGTTGCCAACGCATGCCTCCCACCAGTGCCGATATACAGCCATATCGCACTGCTACTCGTGTGATATTGCTCATATATATATATACTACCTGACAAAAGTCTTGTCGTTGATCACAGTTGTAAAAGCAACAAATAATAACTTGACTGCTAGTTCATTTTCTGATGAATCATCTGTTGATCTGCATCTCAATCATCACAAATACTGCAGAAGACCTACTGGAACCAGCATGGAGCCAAGATTGTGACAAAAATCAGTCAAGTTTGGTGAAGGAAAAATCATGGTTTGAGGTTCAACATCAACAGCCTGAGGTATCAAGACATTTGTGCTGCCCATTACATTACAAACCACAGCAGAGGGCAAATTCTCCAGCAGGATAGCGCTCCTTCTCATACTTCAGCCTCCATTTCAAAGCTCCTGAAAGCAAAGAAGGTCAAGGCGCTCCAGGATTGGCCAGCCCAGTCACCAGACATGAACATTATTGAGCATGTCTGGGGTAAGATGAAGGAGGAGGCATTGAAGATGAACCCAAAGAATCTTGATGAACTCTGGGAGTCCTGCAGGAACGCTTTCTTTGCCATTCCAGATGACTTTATTAATAAGGGATTTGAGTCATTGCAGAGATGTATGGATGCAGTCCTCCAAGCTCATGATGGAATCAGACATAATATTACCAAATGATCAGCTAGAAGTCCTAAAACTTGGCGATACGACTTTTGCCAGGTAGTATAGGTTTGCCAGGTTTATATAATATATAAATATACATATTTGTATATTTAATGGTTGAAAAAATATATATGTAAGCAGTCTTTTTTAGGCAATATTTCAAAATATATGCTGCATTAATGACATATTTTATATATGTGAAATCCAAATATGAAGCGGTAAGCTATGGTATACATGTAATTTTCATCTATTGCCGTATATCAGATTTGTATGTGGGTAGGAACACCTCAATATTACGTATTACCTCGGTCACTCATGTGCTGAGCAATGCTAAAAATATGGGTTCAGCTTCAGCATCAGTATGCAAAACATTCATTATCCTCGATGCCTTGACTTGTTAATCATTCATATTTCATCAAGGTCGCTCGGAAAGCATGTTTTATATTCACTGATGACGGATTTTGATGTATTCCAGCTGAAGTGAAGCATGCTTGTGCGCGCACTCTGATTGGAGGAGAGTAGAGGACTTCACACCTGTTCCTGCTGAACTGAGCCAGCACTAAATCAACATACTGATACCAGTTTAGCAGGCACAAGTGGGAACAGCCCTCAGTCGTGTTTCTCAACACCACACCAGCGCAATTACTCGAACAATCGGAGAGGATATGTCTGGACAAATTGTAGGGATGGTCACGACACCACACCTTGTGTTCAAAGTCTTTGTAGTTCAAGCAATTCCACACAATTTATAGTTAACTGAAGGTTAGATTTAAGACATAAGAGCCTATATCGACACCAGTATGTTTGCTCGTATCTTTGGGTGTGTTCAATTTGTAAAATAAAAAAGAGAGTCTTAATTTTTTGGACACTTTTGTCATTTTTAAGACCAAACTTAAAAAACATAAACCAAAATAAAAGGCTTATATCCTCAGCCCAAACTTACACCTGATTAAATGTTTGAATGAAACCATAAAGAGCCCTATTATACACCAGGCCCAATAAGGCGCAAGACGTGTTTTTCCTGACGTGTTGCTATTTTCAGACCAACGCAATCTTAATTTTCCTGTTCCATGTTGTTTAAGCAAATCTATTTGTGCCACTTTATAGACTCATGGGTGTTCTGGTCTAGAAAAGAGTTGTGTTAAGGCGCATTGTTGGGGCATTGCTATTATGAGGAACTAAAACAGACTAGGCAATAGACCAGCTGAAAGCAGATCTAAAGTCCGGCGCAGAGCGCGTCAGTTGTGCGCCTCAGTTACACACTGCTCAAAACATGCAGATTGTACAGCAATACACAAATATCTTAACAAATGAAAAAGAATTAAAGGATTAACATATTAAAAAAATATTACTCTATACGTAAATATAAAAGCCTCAATTCATCTCGGGAGACGATTGACGATTTGCTTTTGTATAACTGTACGTTCACACCGAAAGCGGCGAGAGCGTCAAAGTAGCCAGAAGTCATTCATTTTCAATGAGAGCCGGCGGCGATAGGCGACGATAAGCGGCGAGGAGCAGCGCGGCGCGTCTTCGCCGGCGTGAGCGTCGAGGAGAGTTGAAATGATGTCAACTTTATGGTAATGAGATATGACGCGGTTCGGCGGCAAGCAATCAGAATAAAGACGTCCACTGCTTGATAGCAGTTCAGGGAACACAGACCTGTGAACTTTGGTTCCGACCACAGTTGTTCCCAAGGGTTTGATTATTGCGGTCACCGGATTTCCAATTATTTACAATGTTTTCTTACAGGAACATACATTAAATAAGTTACTGGCGAGTTACTGATGTTCATTAATGTTATATAAATTTATCTTTAAAAAGCGGGAATCTCACGCGATGTGACAGTACAAAACAGTACTGCTGCTTCAGGATATTTCAGACATATGGACACATATTGGATAAATAGAGCAAAGCCACACCACATGCAACTTGATCTTCCATTGTTATATGAATTTGATAAGAAGTGCGCAACATTTTCACGCTAAAAACATGTCTTATGCAGGAATGTAACTGATATGCTGCAACGGCTCCTTTAAGTACGAGATCAATGTAGCGAGTTTTGACGCTCTCGCCGCCGGAGCTGAAGGCAGACAGCGTTGTCGCCAGGGCGGCCAGAGCGACCTTGGATGCTCTTGCCGCTTTCGGTGTGAACGTACGGTAATGCTATTAGGTGAGGCAATGGCGCAGTAGGTAGTGCTGTCACCTCACAGCAAGAAGGTTGCTTGTTCGAACCTCAGCTAAGTTGGCGTTTCTGTGTGGAGTTTGCATGTTCTCCCTGCCTTTGCGTGGGTTTCCTCCGGGTGCTCCCGTTTCCCCAACAGTCCAAAGATATGTGGTACAGGTAAATTGGGTAGGCTAAATTGTCCGTAGTGTATGAGTGTGTGTGTGGATGTGTGTGTGGGTGTTTCCCAGAGATGGGTTGCGGCTGGAAGGGCATCTGCTGCGTAAAAACTTTCTGGATAAGTTGGTGGTTCAATCCGCTGTGGCGACCCCGGATTAATAAAGGGACTAAGCCGACAAGACAATGAAAGAAAATGATGCTATTATTATCATTAGTATTATTTATTATATTCATATTTATTAGGGATGTGCGGAGCAGCCGGTATTTGTATTTGTATTTGTATTTGTTGAGGGGGGAAAAGTATTTGTATTTGTATTTGTATTCGAGTAAAATTCAAAATGGCGCAGAAATATATATTTTTTCTATTACACTTCTAATTTACGTTATAGTGAAAGTATTGTTTAATTATACCCATTATATAAATTATAGATATGCAATATTGGCTGTTGTTTTTGAACATGTGATAAGAAATGTCATTGAAAAGAAAATAACATAGAAGCCATTATCTCATCCATGGTTAAACCAACAACTAATAAAATACCATTGTGAATATTATGAACCCCACCACCACCGTTCTTGTTGAAGGACACTGAATAGACAGACTAAAAACAAATAATACTTCAAAAAACTGTTCTTCTTCTGAAAGAACTTTTTTCCAATGGACAGAATTCCAAAAATAAGCTAAATAAATCTAAATAAAACCCTGCCTGGGAGATCTGGCAGAACAAAAGTATTCTATATAATACTAAAAGATGCAGCCTTGCTATTATCATCTGCCTGCCACAAAAAAAGACACAAAGTTTGTTTGTTTGTTTATTTAGAGATATCTGCAAATATTTTTCAATGGAGGAATATGACTAGTCAGTCATAATATATTTGCAGATATTTCCAATCTGAATTATAATTATGACAAGTCAAAATATAATTAGAGATATCTCTAAATATATTTATGGATAGTCTCAACAAGGTTTATATGCTAAAACGGCTTGCCATACGCACAGTGGCACAGTGGAGATTTCTCTAGTTATATCGTTTCAGTCGTTTGTTATGCAGTGACATGCAGTCAAATATTTCGCCAAACAGTCCTTAGGGATGCGGTGACACGCAGTCAGATATTTTACCGGACAGATCCGCCACTTTTGGCGCGCATAAACAATCATTAAGCTCTCGTGCTGCAGGAATGAGGAGGTCTGCTGAAGGCGCACAGCTGACGTGCAGTGAGAGGTTTGCGTCTTTAATAAACTACGGCAGTTTGCGATCACTGAACAGTAAGAATGATTAATAAATCCATATGAAACAGTCCCTTAACAGTCACGTCTTGCTTTCAGTTTCGGGCTTTGGCGCGTTTTGCACTGAGCGTGTGTCTTTCTCTCTCTCTCTCTCTCTTTCTCTCTCTCTCTCTCTCACTCTCTCTCTCTCTCTCACTCACTCACTCACGCGGGCATGCACTGTGGTCTCATGAGGAAACGCTGCTTTTTGATATAGTGTTTTTCTTGCTCCCGAATACAAATAATTTTTCAAGTATTTGTTCGAATCAAGTATTCGTAAAAACACGCTATTCGTGCCTTTCCGAATACCGTATTCGGGTTCGGCTCCAGCCTTAAACAAGCTTAGACTTGCCCACCTGTCAGGTTTTCCATATGGGGCATAGCATTTGTATTTGGATACAAGTGTTTGACCGCACTTCGGTATTATTGTTTATTTATTAGTTTGCTGGAAATTAATTAGAACTGTTTTTTTTTTTTTTATTGGAACTTTATTTTATTTAGTTTATTAATGTGTTACTTATTTTGTATAGGTGTGTGAGTTTGTTTATATGTGGGTGTGTCGTTTCATGCGTGTGCTACAGGTACGAACGGCATTTGAGGATCCGCATTTCGTCATGATGACGTTGGCCGCTGTTAACGTAACAAGGTTAACAGATGACTGTGCGTACAACACGTTTCCTTATCCACGAAAGAGAGAAAGAAAAAGTGAAGGTAAAGGCGGTCCTTTTTTTCCATCCTTAAAATAGCAAAAGTGTACTTGGATATACCCTTAATGCGCTTTAGACTTTGCGCCTAGATCATTAAAATAGAGCCCTAAGGCTACATCTACGCTAATACCAATGAATTTGAAAATGGCATTTTCGTCTAAAAACTAACGTCCTTGTCGTTTTTAATTACTTTGTTGGTCATCCACTTTAAAATGACTTAAACGCTTTTGTTCATGTACTGCGCTTTTACCTGCGTCATATCAACATGCTGTTTATTTAATTTCTGTCTCTTTGAAATGTTGCAGCAAAATTTCGTAACTTGCAGCCTTGGCACGGTTGCATAGCCTCGCTAACGCTCACCTCTAAAAAAAGTAACTACACATCACAACGGCACATAGCATAAGCTAGCGGTGTGGGTGGTGCTGGGAGCCATATGCAGAGAGTGTTTACAAGTGTCGAGTCCTGCGACGGAGCTCCAGATGGAAACTGTTGTTTTGTGTTTATCTTATGATTAAAGTTGTTGCACGTCCACCAGTTCTTATCTCTAAACGAGCGAGTTTGAGCTACTTGTACATTAAGGTAGCGTTCAGAAAAAACAAAACACCCATGAAGAAACTCGACACAGAGGAAAATAAAAAACTACTGCCAGCCAGCCTTTCGGAAGTGTTATTGCAGAGCAACACAAACAGCTTCAGAAGTATAAATGCACGCCTGTGCACAAGGCTGGCGACGTGGGTCATGTCGATATCTCGATACAGAAGTATAAATCTTAACAGTGAACATTCCTGTCCTTTGAAGAGAGGCAATATGGAGCATGTACAAGCTGACATTAATCTTTAATAAAGCTGTCAAATGGACAGCTTCTAAAACATCTGCTTTACAATGTCATCCACCATGTTAGCTGAATTGGTCACATGACTGCATCACATGACTAAAATGAGTCATAATTTTTGAAAGCCTCAGTTTTCAAAGTCCACACTGTAACACAAAAAACTGTTTCGAATTAGTTTTTAAAAGATTCATTTTTGTTTACTATAAACGTTGTCTTATTGTGAACGGAAGGCCAAAACAGAGAGAAAAATCTATATTTTTAAACAAAAATGTATTAGTGTGGACATGGCCCAAATCTGTCAACTGTGAATAAACTTTATTTTCAAATTCAGCTTGAAGCAAATTTCCCATTGCTCAGTGAATTTTCTTTTTTATTTATTTCACAGGCAAATTCAGACAATCCATACTTTTCGCTTTGTGTGACAGAAAAAGTTCATTTACACATCTTAATGCTGTTGACAATGGACACTTCTCCAGGGGAAATATCACTAATTTGAACCCCACCTTAAAAATACAGTAACATTTGCTGTATTACTGTTTTTGTCACCGACTCGGTCCCAGTCATTCCCCTCGCTGGCCAGCAGAGGCCTCCATCTCCGGACTTCTAAGCATTACATCATCCATTTACCCTGATCATGCACACCTGAACTGAATCCCGCTAATGACCCATGTACCCTTTATTGACCTTATTCTAAAATGCGGAAGTGCGCATGTTTTCGCGATTGTCTTAGAACTTCCGTTTGAGTCGCCTATGGTAGAAATGACAAGGAATGATAAACGGCAAAAAACGGTCAAACTACTTGCTCTACAAACAAATGTTTGCATGACTATACAGACCAAGTAGAATAATACAACAAGGAAATATCAGTTTGCAACATCAAACAACGAAACGAGCAGTTTTTAATGTCTAAAAATGAATGGAAGTGAATGAGACCGGAAGTCTCGTGCCAAAAAGATTCAAATGGCAGCGCCCACTCGTCGGCGGAGAATAAGGTCAATAAGCCAGCACCAAACTCTCATTCAGTGCGAAGTCTTGTTTAGCCCCGGCCAGCATTTCTGAGCGGTATTCCTGCCTGACTCCTTGTGTATTACTCCAGCCTGTTTCTTGACTCTGCTTTGCCTTCTGCCTGCCCACGACCCACGCCTTGTATACGGACTCTGATACTCGCTGCCTGCCCACGAACCACGCCTGTTATACGGACGCTGATGTTCGCTACCTGCCCACGACCCACGCCTGGTTCACGGACTCTGATACTTGCAGCCTGCCCTCGATCTATGCCTGGTAATACTCCCTGTGTCTATTCATCGCCAGTCTTGATTCATCATAGACTGTTGTTGTTGTGTGTTTGCACGTTAGTGCATATTGTGTGTGTGAATAAGTGCTTGAGCAATAAATACTGCATAATGGATCCCTTCGTGTCAGTCTCAGCGTTACAGTTTTTGTACATTTTTGTTCCATTCCGTATTTGAATCTATTTGCTCGTATTTGAATCTATTTGCTCGTATTTGAATCTATTTGTTTGGGAGATTTTTTTTAATCATTTACCTAGTTAAGTTTTATTGTTGTTTCTGAAAATGTTTGTCAATAAAATCCAACCATTTTAACAGGAATCCATCAGTTTTACTTAATGTTACTTTTAATTTACATTGGTAACATGTAACTTTTTGGTTTTCGTGTTACTTTTTGGTTTACGTGTTACTTTTAACTAATATTGGTAATGTTACTTTATGTGTTACTTTTTAGTAAGGTGCTACTTTTAATTAACATAGGTAATTTTGGTTAAAGCCTTACTTTTTGGTAAGCTGTTACATGTAATTAACAATGGTAAACGTAACTTTTTGGTTATGTGTTACTTTTGGTAATGTGTTACTTTTAAGTAACATTGGTAACATTACTTTATGGTTAATGTGTTACTTTTTAGTAAGGTGCTACTTTTAATTAACATTTGTAACATTATGTTTTGGTTAAATCCTTACTTTTTGGTAAAGTGTTACTTTTAATTAACAATGGTTAACGTTACTTTTTGGTTTACGGGTTACTTTTTGGTAGGGAGTTACTTTTAACTAACAATGGTAACGGTACTTTTTGGTTAACATCTTATTTTTTGGTAAGGTGTTACTTTTAATTAACATTGATAACATTACGTTTTGGATAAAGCCTTACTTTTTGGTAAGGTGTTACTTTTAACTAACAATGGTAAACGTTACTTTTTGGTTTACGTGCTACTTTTGGTAATGTGTTACTTTTAATTAACAATGGTAAACATTACTTTTTGGTAATGTGTTACTTTTTGGTAAGGTGTTACTTTTAATTAACATTGGTAACATTACATTTTGGTTAAATCTTTACTTTTTGGTAAGGAGTTACTTTTAACTAACAATGGTAAACACTACTTTTTGGTATTTTTTTGCCAGAACAATTTTGATAAGATTAAGACAAGTTACTAGAGAACACATATGCCAAAAACCAGCATTCGTTTATTAAATTTTCAAAAACACTGATGAATAATAGAAACTTTTATCATCATCTTGAGAAACAGAAAATGCAGAGCTCAATCTGTTAATGTAATTCAGCGCTCCTGTGTTCCTGGAACATGAATTTACTAATTCGCTAACACACAAATACTCTACTCTAAATGTACTTCGACATTGTGTGTCAGCATTTCCACTCAGTCCGATGAAGCGATCAGAACCTGCTTTAAAAAATAAAAGCCTGACACGTTGTCCTGACTAATGGTCCTCAATCCTGATGCTAATTGCAGGTCTAAGAGCTTCACCTTCCTTGTTTTGCGCACATGTTCAAACTGGTTAAGCTATTACCGGCATCATTACGCCCAGTTCCTGCCCTGTCTCACTTTTAACACCGATGGATTTCCCTTCCCGCGCTCCGTCATCCCGTTCACTCCAGACACTGAACTTAGCCACTGTGAACAGTTTTCTTAAGGGATCAATGCTCACCGATTAGCTAAGCTCTGCGCCGTGAGCGAGTGATGACCTGATTGAACGACTCGAGATGGAAAGGGTGCAGCCGCTATTAGCGAGGTGTATTAGCAAGGAACAAGATGGATTATGGGTAATTATACAAGGTTAGTCACTGTGAACGAGCACATAAAGGTCATGATTATACTCTGTTTGATCCATATTTGAAGCCAATGTGAAATTATAATAAATGCACATCCTGTGTTTGTGATGCATCTTGAAACCAAGGGGTCTGCAACAACTGCTATTCAAAATATGCTGAATAGGTGAAACTGTGCACAAAAAATATTATAATAGAAAAATAATTATGATGGCTGTACTTTCCTTTCATTTTACTTATTTTATTTTAAATATTATTATGTATTTAATTATTATTTGTATAAATTCATTATAAATAAAATTTTACTCCCTCATCTGTAAGGGGATACATTTTGGGGGAAGGGGTTGTTCTGGAAAAAAAATCTTGAAAAATCTTAAATAAAAAATTAAAAAAATTATAATAAACAACACAAATAGGTAGTTTTATACAATAATTATTAATAAAAAAATTAAATTATATGTTATTGTATATTTTTATACACTATAATATATATTATATTACTAAAATATATATTATTATATAAAATGTCATATAAGTTTGATTAAAAAATGTATATAAAAAAAAAATATATATATATATATATATATATATATATATATATATATATAATAATATGTATATTAGGTAACATTGTATAATTTTGTAATATATATATGTACTATATATATATATATATATATATATATATATATATATATATATATATATATATATATATATATATATATATATACTTTGTAGTATATATAATAATTTTAAAACATTCTAAAGTAATTGAATAATACATAAATATGAAATATGTATAATTATATATTATAGCTATAGACAATTTAGCACTGAAAAAATATTTTTCATCTGAAAACAATAAATAAAAGGCATTTACTAAAATTGTGTCCATTTTAATATTAGATAATATGATAAATAATATATATTTACACATTTTATTAATGTTAATGTTTTCATTTGTAACAAATATTAAACTATACACATTCATAAAATAAACGTTTTATTATAGATTTATGTTACAGAGTTTTATTTAATCGTAGCTATTTTTAATTATTTGTTCAAAATTGTTCACTAATATAATTAAAAAGTGCACAGTATTATCAAATCAACCTTTTTTTTCACCCTATTTGCTTTTTTTTTTTTTTTTGCAGCTCAGTAAAGTCACTAGGGCCGGATTTAACCAATAAGCAAGGCATAGATATATACACTAGATATCACATACGGACCCTGAGCATGCGTCAATAGCGCCACTACATTTGTACAGTGCTCCCAGGACAAATGTCATTCAGCTGCACTTGTCAAACCCAATGTGAAGATGCTGTGTACGGGTGTAGTAAAGAGCAAACAAAGAAAACAAAGCACAAAGGCAGAACATTTCATAGGTAAGATTTAGTTTTTGACGTTTTTGTAAGTTACGAACTGCTAAACAAGTAACGTTATTGATGATAATACAGTCTCTTACTGCACTGACCATATGGTAAAGCAGCACCAACTTGCACTAAATACTCGGCTTATGCTAGTTTTGTTGAATAAAATAAGCAAACAATGTCAATGAAATATGACTACAAGATGCTGCGGTGCTAGAAACTTATTATTGTCAGCTATGGTCCCACATTCATTTCAAAGGAGCACTACCCTGCACTAAAATGGCGGCTCTATTGGCGCATTCCTTCTAATAGACAACAATGGAGTAGGCAACATCTAATGTAAATAGCTATGTAAGCAAGGTAAGCCCAAGAAATCTGAGGGCCCCCAAATAAATACTTAGAAGTATAAAAGATACCTGAAAATTATATATAACACTGTTTTCTATCGTATTTTGTATGGTAAGGGACTAATTATAACGTAATTATTACATCTGCGCAATTGTGTCCTCCAACTTCAATCATGGACCAGTCCAGCAGTCAAATCAGTTAAGATATAGCTTTAAAAACGATTTCAAGTGTTCACACTTAGCTGATGATTGATTATAAAGCTTGTTTGGCACGCTGTGCCTGAGCTCATAAGATGCTCGAGCCCGGGGCTCCCTCCCGTTAGCAAGGCGAGAGGGGAGTTTGAGCTCAGGTACATCTTGAGAATTTCCCTGCTGTGGTAGCTAAAAAACAGATAGTGATTGCTTTTAAGAGACAACTACTTACTAGGAGCATGTCTATGGTGGTGATTTGGATTAGTTAATTAACTTAAGTTCATGTTTTTGAATGGTGGGAGGAGACCGGGGAACCCCACGTGAGCACGGGAAGAACGTGTAAACTCAGAAACGTCGGCTGGCTTGGTAAGGACTTGAACCAGTGAAGTTCTTGCTGTGAGGTAACAGTGCTTACCACTGGGCCACCGTGCCACCCATCTAGCAAAGGAGGGGGAGTAGTGGTGGAAGGGGGGATTCTTCAAAATGAAGATGGCTGTCATATGGAACTAAGGGTATTTATAGTGTCTTAAGAATCATCTGATTGGTGAACCGTAAATTGAATAATGCGGGACCAGCAGCAAGCAATCATAAGCACTTGATCCTCTCGAAATTAGTTAATAAATAAACTTCACATAGTTCATTTATAATTTTTAAATGTGAAATTATTTTTGAAAAACAAATCACTTTAAAGGTTTTACAAGATCCTATTATAATTATTTTGCATTAAGATAAAATGTAGAAAATGAGATCGAATGATATAAGAAAAAAAACAATAAAATTTAAGTACAAAAGGTGCATTTTAGAACTTTTGGGCCCAATTTCTGGAATTGCTTAAGGCCCCCCAATCCCTAAATCTGCCCCTGGCGACTAATGAAGGTTTTGGGACGGTTAGAGCTCTTGTGCTGTCATCAGCCAGTCAGCGTAGTTTTATTCACCATTTTTAAGTCAGTCTCCACATACCGTCTGATAACAGTCCGACGCGGCGGGAGTCAAACGAGTTTGCGTCTCCTTTTTTGAAGCTCGCCAGATGCCCTTTTGCCTTCGCCGATATTCCAGTAAGCCATTATCTGTCATTCCTGAGGAAACATGATCTTTCCACAGCGATGAGTCACTGTTTGTGTTGTTGAGTCTGAAAAACATACCAAGCAGTTGCACTCACATGAACCAAATGCCAAAGAGGTTACATAAATAAAATATGAATCTCATATGCTGCAGCAAGCGGCATGCAAAAGAGCTTTACATTCTCTGAATTGGCGTTTCTCTGTGGAAAAAACTAAATGCAAGAGAGTTGATGGTGGTTGCCGGGACATTGCTGTGTGGTTGCTAGGGAGTTTTGAATACCTTTAGCACATTGTTATGTTATTACAGTGGTGACTTAGTCAATGAAATAACAAACAGGTGTGAAAATATTTGGGGAAAAATTAGGTCCAAACTAATTCATTTTTAGTTTGAAACATTCGTTCAAAGAGAAATTTGACAAAAATTCACTCAAGCTAAACAATTTTGAATTCATATTGGTCCATGGCAGCAAAGACCATAGCAGGGGTGGCCAACCAGGTTCCTGGAGAGCCACCTTCCTGCAGATTTCAGTTGCAACCCATACCAAACACACCTGAACCAATTAATTAGGACCCGAACACCACATAATAATTACAAGCAGGTGTGTTTGATATGGGTTGCAACTGAAAGCTGCAGGAAGGTGGCTCTGCAGGAACAGGGTTGGCCACCCCTGGACTATAGTATACACAAGGTATGTCACTTATTTGGTTATGAATGGGGAAAAGTGTAACAATTAATATGGTGAATGAAGTACCGCCTACTTGCACAGGAGCCAATCATCGTTTGCTATAGACTGACGATTCGCCAGGGGAGAAGCTCAGACCAAATGTGTGCTTTCACAACAGTTTCTGTGGTTAATAAAGGCAAGCAAACAAGTATTTTTAGAATAGTTGCTTTACAGACATAAGAAATATATCCAGATAAAGCTTAAAATCTTTACTTTTAAATGAACTAAGTGCACTTGACAACTAAAGTTTTTTTTTTTTAATTTCTATGAAAGGCGAGGCAGTGGCGCAGTAGGTAGTGCTGTCGCCTCACAGCAAGAAGGTCGCTGGTTCGAACATTGGCTCAGTTGGTGTTTTTGTGTGGAGTTTGCATGTTCTCCCTGCCTTCGTGTGGGTTTCCTCCGGGTCCTTCGGTTTCTCCCACAGTACAAAGACATGCGGTACAGGTGAATTGGGTAGGCTGAAATTGTCCGTAGTGTGTGTGCGAATGTGTGTGTGGATGTTTCCCAGAGATGGGTTGCGGCTGGAAGGGCATCCGCTGCGTAAAAAAACTTGCTGGATAAGTTGGTGGTTCATTCCGCTGTGGCGACCCCCGATTAATAAATCGAGAATTAATAAATTAAGAAATCTTGACTAAGCCGACAAGAAAATGAATGAATGAATAAATTTGTATGAAACGAACGCGAGGTACCAGCCAGTCCGTCCGTCAAACGCACATCACATGGCAGCAACTAATCAAACGCCTACAAACTTGTAAACAAATAGTTGCTGTCATTTTTGGTGGAGATTCTCCATCAAGACCAAGTCGTGGATTACTTCAGAAGAGCATAACGGCCATAAATGAGGTTGGTGTCGTGATCTCGTTTCTTTCGAGTGCGTATGCGCATTAGCTCGGGCAACCTTAAACATGCCGATTTTGTTTTATTTATACATTTAAAAACGAAACGAGACAGTTGTTTAATTATATTGGTGATACCACCCTGCTGAAAAATCCAGCTTAAACCAGCCTAGGCTGGTTGGCTGATTTTAGCTGGTTGACCAGCCTGGTTTTAGAGGGGATTTGCCCATTTCCAGCCTGGTCTTAGCTGGTCAGGCTGTAAAATGAACAGCTAAATCCAGCTAAAACCAGCTTGACCAGCCTGGTTTAAGCTTAACAAAGCTGGTTTGGGCTGGGCTCCCAGCCTGGCTAGGCTGGTCAAGCTGGTTTTAGCTGGTCATCTCCCAGCCTGACTAGCTAAGACCAGGCTGGAAATGGCTGGAAACCAGCCTGGAAATGGCCAAAACCCCTCTAAAACCAGCCTGGGCGACCAGCTTAAACCAGCCAACCTGGTTAAGCTGTTTTTTTAGTAGGGCAAATATGTAATGTAATGTAAGCTTTGCAAACAGTTTTGGAGAATTTGGTTTCCCCATTCAGACAGAATGCCTGAGATGAGAGACGTTTCAAAGATGGCCACGGAGTGAAACAACTTGCCTTACAGGGACTTTGGTGGGAGTTTTATAACAGGTAAGTGTGGGTCTGAGGCTCCGCCTTCTTTCACTTGTCAATCTTCTCCAGTAGCTCCTCCGCTCAGTCCACTGTTTGCTAACAGGATATAACTGATTGGGCCTTTCACACCTTTTTTTTTACCAATTAAGTCCTTACTCAAAAAGAAATCGAAAAACAAAATCAAATAAATTCTAATTGGTTACATAATAGGTGGGTGTGGGCCTTAGGCTCCGCCTTCTTTGACAAGCAAAATTTAAGTAGTCCAACATTAGTTGCTAACAATTTTCATTGTGTTTGCCAACAATATTCCACTGCACAGATATCTGAAATGTCTTTGTACTCATTAGGTCCCCGATATGACACGCTACTATGACATAATTTCAAACAAAATCTGGCCAAACTATTGTTTGTTTCAGAAGTTTAAAACCTTTAGATTCCAATTGGTGGATAGCAATTATGTAATAGGTGAGTGCCTAATTTGAGGTGGCCTTCTCAGGGGGGTGGAAATCTGTTAATTTACTTTAAACCAAAAAACAAAAAAGAACTTTGTGCCTGGATCACACGCATATAACAAAACTCATAAGGGTATATTTTGGGATATTGAGGTTTATACATAACCTAAACAAATAAGCTTTCCTTTGATGTAAGGTTAGTTAGGATGAACCATTTTTGGTTTAGATACAACCATTTGGAAATCTAAAATCTGAGGGTTCGATACAATCAAAATATTGTGAAAATCGTCATAAAATTTGCCCAAATTTAGTTCTTAGCAATGCACATTACTAATTTAAAAATAAGTTTTGATATTTTTACAGTGGAAAATTTACTAAATGTCTTCATCTTTACCTATATCATGATCTTTACTTAATATCCTAATAATTTTTGGCATAAAATAAAAATCCATATTTTTGACCCACCAATGTATTGTTGGCTATTCTTACAAACATACCCATGTAACCTGGTTTTGTGCTCCAGTATCGCATATTAGATCCTTTAACAGCCTCCACATTTTTCCACATTATTTGTCCGCAAGGCAAAAACTGGTTCAATTTCTCAGAAAAAGTAAGCAAGCAGCATTTAATTCTCTCGGTTAGGGGTTTGTTTAAAGCACTAACCCCAAATGCGAGCATTAGTAAAAGTCAAGCTTGACGAATTAAAGTAAAATCATTTCCTAGGTGGAGCAAGTACGATAACACCCTCACAATAAGAGCAGGAACGCACATTAGGAAAGCAAACAGGCTCAGTGTTGACTTTAAGCCGTGCGAACACAAGACTCCTGACAGTCTAATTCTGACAAATCTTCGTGGTTTTTTCCTCTGTTGTTTCAGGATCTCCAGTTTACAGCAGCTCAGGTTGGCGCTGTAGGTTTTGGGCACCTGAAGAACCGTGCAGGAGTGGAAATCCCTGGCAATGTGATTTTCATTTCTGTTTATCCACCAAATCACGGTGCCAGGAACCCTCCCCGCCACAGCCGCACCACCCACTCCAGTGCAAATGCTCTACAGCTGCGCTCCAGCTGTGTTCCTTCCCTATGGGGAGAGAAGGAGAAATCGTCAGCTTATCCAAACCAGGTCAAAGCTGAGGGTTTGAGATGTTCTACTGTACATCGTCAGCACTCTCAGGGGGAAACTACTTGAAAACTGTAGATTCAAACTTAAGATACTTGGACAAGATAGTAAATAAAGTGAAATGTGTCGCTTTTATGATGTTCCAAAAGCTTTTGGATGGTTCCACCAATTGCTGTTGAAGTGAGTGTTTAGGAAACCTGTTTTAATAATGAATAACGATAACGAGTGGGCATTATTTTATAGTAACTCAACTTTTATAGTAACTCAGCATTTCACATGAATCACTCGAGTTCGAAAATCTGAACTTCAGCGGACATTCGCGCCGCGTTAACCAATCAGAAGCTTGCTCTTGTGGGGGAGTGATTGTGACGTAAAACCTGTTGATGGTGTCCCGGGGCAAATCCTCCAGGCGACACCGACAACAAGTCATCAGACTGGGATTGGCTCAGTCAGAGGCACTGCTGAAAGTCTCCGTGATCCAGGTTCAGTTTCTGGAGGAGTTTATGAGCTCAGAGCTGGATGCACCTCTGAAAGGATGCAGTGGACTCATACAGGACCCTAAACGTATCGACGCTGTTTTTCAGTCTCCATAAAGCACATTAACACTGTTATTTTCTTAATAAAATCCATGTTAGCCATTTAGCTATGAAGCTAGAGTTACAGGGCAGACAGAAGCCCTGCCCATCACGCGAATCCGCGTCTGTTTTAAAGTGAATTTGACACGCGATTGAAGCGAATTTGACGGGCGAATGAAGCAGGGTTTGACGCACGAATGAATCGAGTAAACTCAAATGTTCACGCGGCATTTAACGCACGAATAGCGCAATTTATCCGCGCGTTCCGCATCTGGTGTGAACACGGTATTAGACTAGTTTCTTTCGAAGTCTTCTGTTGTATTTTTAAGTGATTTTTGACTGTTGTATCTGTGAAATAACTGAGCTCATTCAGCGTAGTGATATTAAGTTGTAATGCCCTCAAAACCTGCCAGAACTAGTTTATCTGTGCGTTTATCTAAAAACAACTGTACACCTTAGAATGCTCATCAGCCAATCAGAATAAAGCTGTGTTCGTTCCCTGTGGGGAGAGAAGGAGAAATCGTCAGCTTATCCAAACCAAGTCAAAGCTGAGGGTTCGAGTCTCTCTACTGTACATCATCAGCACTCTCAGGGGAAGCTACTGTAGATTCAAACTTAAGATACTTGAAAATAATAGCAAATAAAGTGAAAATGTGTCGGTTTTTTGATGTTCCAAAAGCTTTTGGATGGTTTTACCAATTGCTGTTGAAGTGAGTGTTTAGGAAACCTGTTTTAATAATGAATAATGACAATGAGTGGCCATTATTTTATAATAATTCTATAGTTAACTGTTTCACTGATTATCAAAGCTGTTGAGATGTAGTATTTCAGACATTTGTCAGGTTTTTGTCCTCAAACTGCTCCTGTGTGTTAGACTAGTTTCTTCTGAAGTCTTCTGTTGTATCTTTAAGTGATTTTTGACTGTTGTATCTGTGAAATAAATGAAATCATTCAGCGTAGTGATATTGAGTTGTAATGCCCTCAAAAGCTGCCAGAACTACTTCATCTGTGGTTTTATCTGTGATTAACGCACACCTTAGAATGATCATCAGCCAATCAGAATAGAGCTGTGTTCGTTCCCTGTGGGGAGAGAAGGAGAAATCGTCAGCTTATCCAAACCAGGTCAAAGCTGAGGGTTCGAGCCTCTCTACTGTACATCATCAGCACTCTCAAGGGAAGCTACTGTAGATTCAAACTTAAGATACTTGGAAATAATAGCAAATAAAGTGAAATGTGTCGCTTTTTTGATGTTCCAAAAGCTTTTGGATGGTTTTACCAATTGTTGATATAGTGAGTGTTAAGGAAACCTGTTTTAATAACGATTAATGACAATGAGTGGCCATTATTTTATAGCAATTCGATAGTTAACTGTTTCACTAGTTCTCAAAGCTGTTGAGATGTAGTATTTCAGACATTTGTCAGGTTTTTGTCCTCAAACTGCTCCTGTGTGTTAGACTAGTTTCTTTCGAAGTCTTCTTTTGTATTTTTAGGTGATTTTTGATCGTTGTAGCTGTGAAATAACTGAAATCATTCAGTAGTGATATTGCCCTCAAAACCTTCCAGAACTAATTTATCTGCACATTAATCTAAAAATAACTGCACACCTTCGAATGCTCATCAGCCAATCAGAATAAAGCTGTGTTCATTCCGAATGGGAGGAGAAGGAGAAATCGTCAGCTTATCCAAACCAGGTCAAAGCTGAGGATTCGAGTCTCTCTACTGTACATCATCAGCACTCTCAGGGTAAGCTACTTGAAAACCATAGATTCAAACTTAATATATTTGGAAACTAAAGTAAATAAAGTGAAAATGTATCACTTTTGGTTGGTCCCACCAATTTCTGTTGAAGTGATTGCTGAGGGAGCCAGTTTTAATCATGATTAATAACAATGAGTGGGCATTATTTAATAATAATTCAACAGCTAATTGTTCCACTGGTTCTCACTGCTAAAGTCACTGTTTAGATGTTGTATTGGAGCCATTTGTCAGATTTACGTACTCAAACTGTTCCTGTGTGTTGCACTAGTTGCTCACACATCTCTTCCAAAGCCTTCTCAGTGTCTCAACTCTTTTATTCCGTTAGGGAAACAAAAATCGCAGCAAGGTGCCATTGCACAAGCCAAGTTCCATGTACATATTAACAATTTTTACCAAAAAACATACCATTATAAATCAATTTTCAGATACATTTCCCTCCATGCTGGACTTTAATTTAATAAGCTAATGGCCACCATAATAGAAGAATCTCTGATTCTGTTTGTGCTGCATACAGGAACTCTAAAACGATGCCCTGAAGGCAACAACTGAAAACAGAATTCAATGGGTAATCCGGGATGCATAAACTCCCCTGGGCTCTCTTCAAGACATAATTTTGGTAAATTAACATTGACCCAGTTTGAGTAAAAAAACAAGGCTACCCAACCTGTTCTTATTTGGCAGTCTGTTGTGTTTCGTATTTTAAAAAAAACTACGACATGCACACTGAACATATTTAAACTTTGCACTGAGCATGGAGCACTTTTTTGGCCTCAGAATAAAAACATTTCATTAGAAAAGTTCTACGATTATCTGTTTAAGCATCTCCTCTTTAAACCTGCGATTTAAAAAAAAAAAAATAAATTAATGGAAGCATTTTGTCATAACTGAAAAACTGACATTTATTTTATGAAAAAAATATACTGTAAAAACGTTAAAAATGCTTAATATATTTATTAAAATATAATTACAGTACACTAAATAAGCAAAGTAGTGGCGCGGTAGGTAGTGCTATCGCCTTACAGCAAGAAGGTCGTTGGTTCGAACCTAGGCTCAGATGGCGTTTCTGTGAGGAGTTTGCCTGTTCTCCCTGCGTTCGCGTGGGTTTCCTCCGGGTGCTCCGGTTTCCCCCACAGTCCAAAGACATGCGGTACAGGTGAATTTGGTAGGCTAAATTGTCCATAGTGTATGAGTGTGTGGATGTTTCCCAGAGATGGGTTGTGGCTGGAAGGACATCCGCTGCGTAAAAACCTGCTGGATGTTGGCGGTTCATTCCGCTGTGGCGACCCTGGATTAATAAAGGGACTAAGCCGACAAGAAAATGAATGAATGAATGAATGAGTACACTAAATAAGCAAAAATTATTATTGCCCTAAATTTTTAAGCCAAATAAAATTAACATTGAGTCGTTTTAACTAAAATGTCATTAAATTGAATTGAAATAACTTATAAAGCAAGAAAACTAAGTTAGAAACTGGATTAACTTTAATAAGATTTAACTCTTCGTTATAATCGATATAAAAACATATGTTGTTGTTGTGACTTATTGATAAATTTTGTACAGCGTACATTCCACCTGCTTAATCTACATTTCTTCACTAAATATTAACTTCAAACCATACTTGTCACTCAAAACAAAAACATTATACAACAATTAAACCAAAGTAAATAATTTAAACTACATTCAGCTTGACAACTACAAGAAGCTGTCATTCAGAAGAGTGTAAATATGTCAAATCTATTGCTTAAAAATGGCTAGAAAAGGCCAAACGAAATGAGAGAGAATACATTTTTTAGGTGAGCGATTCCTTTAACCCCTTAACTGTTGCCGTCAGCCAGGACTTAAGTTTAAGCTTAAGTTTATCTAATCATGACAATTTTTATATGGTTGGAAAGATCTAAGACTTATGAATATATATTTTACTAATGTTTTTGTTCCGCAGGAGGAGTCATAGACAAAAATCCATCACCATACAAGCTACCATATTATTTGTAGGGATGGCTGACGTGAAACTGACGTTTCGACACAGTGTCGAGATCCCGAAGCGCAAGTGTTTCGAAACACTGCACCGAAGCATGATCAGAAACACCCAAGTCCCGTGACTAAAGTGTTTCGAAACACTTGGTCACGTGACAAAAGCGATTCAAAGCATCGATCATTTCAGAGGCGTTTCAAGACCCGGAGAATAAGCATTTGACTGGCATGATCTATATTATAACTCTGTCTCGTATGGCCTAGTGGACCGTGCGTGTGCACTATGGTACTGTATTTCAAATTTATTTTGGGTTCGAATCTTGACTAGTACAAATACTCCAAAATCATGATTTTATGTATTTTAATCATGTTACTGTTTTATGGTGTAGATAGGATACAGCTGCGGATACACCATCAATTTACCATCATTTTTGTAACACTGTAAAACTATAATTATTATTTTTACAGTACTGTGATAGGTTTAGGTTTTGGATAGACGTTAATAAAATACAATAGGAAATTTAATTAATAATATAAATAATTATTGTTAACTTCTTGCCACAACTGTATCTGATCTAGCAACAACCCTGTTTTATGAA